GATAATCTCTATTATCACTTTCCCTAATTACTATGAAGAAGGAGGAGTAAATAGGACCCTCCAGAAGTGAAAGGCGTGTGGACTTGGGGATCCTTGGGAGGTACAGAATTTTACTGATGGCTAGAAATGTAAAAAATATAGTCAGACATTAGTAACTAGACAGGGTGAAATGCTAAACCAGGAAAATGAATCCTTTCCAAGGTATATTAGTCTCTTTCCCACACACACACACACACACACACACACAAATTGCAGGGCATTTGTTTTGTGGTATTATGAATATGTTATTAACAAGAATATGAGTCTTTGGGAGACTGGAAGAGACAGCATTGTTAATTCAATCTAAATGAAAACAGCAAAAATCAACAATTTCTAGAGTACAGTATCTTACCTATGAGTGCTGAAAATTGGGTAGGTAAAAGAAAAGTGGAAAGTAGAGGGTCCCTTAACTAACACAAGGGTATGAGTTTAGTGTCTATTCTCATTGCCCTTGGTCATAAAACTATGGTGCTTCATTCCCAAATGACATTTCAGATATACTGTTATTTAGTTCTGAAATCAATGTGAAAAGTCCATGGCAGATACAGAAATGGTTCACAGTGAAATGCACCATGCTTCAACCCTCAAGAACAATGTGCTCTAAACACTAAAGCATGTGGTGTGAGAATGAATAAAACAATTATGCCTAACTTATACATAGACTATAAAAAGTGTGGAAATGGGAAATTTAAAAAATTAATATATTAAAAACCAAAATTATCTTTAAATATTTGAGAGAATCAAGAATCATAAAATTAATTAGGCAGTTAGAATGGGCAAATTTTGGACCATTTAACTTTAAAAAATCTGACTTATGGATCAACAGCTATTTTCTTACTTTGATTTATTTCTATGTTATACTATCTGAAAGTTTAACTAGAGGAAAACACATACTGTTTTGTACCTTTTGTTCACTCTTACTCTGACCGGTTTACACTGTCAGGTAAGAAAGTAAATGTGCCTATTCTATTATGAGATCACTTAGTCATAATTAATGGTTTTGGAGGCACTGTACTCAGAGCCAGATCAGACCTATAAATGCCTCTTGGATAGTGCAATTTGGGGAGACTCCAAAATTGTCTCCCATATTAACATATTATTGGACCAACTTTTTCATGTACCTGGCCAGAAATCATGCCATTTGACCCTTTTCATTTATTTGATTTATGTAATACATTCATTATCTACTACTACAATGCACATGTGTTATATGGATTGTGAGGAAGGCCCTAGAATTACTTCTGATTGGCCAATATTATACTACATATTATCAAATTCACTCACCATCCCATTAAGAGATCCAAAGTTCTCTTTCTGTTCAGGAGAATAAAATATATAAGAAAAATAGGATGTAAGAAAATAATTGCAGTTTATTGGATCTGTGTATGATTTTACAGTTAATTTAGCTATTTGCCTTATAGATGATAGAAACAGACCCTAAAGAAGAAAATGACCTACCCAATCCTAAATGGAAATCATGACTAGAGGTTAAGTTGGGTGTTTTCCATTTCTGAGTTGTTAAACTCATCATGTGATACATAGTTAAACTAGCCTTGAAAATCTGATTCAGGAGGACTTTTGAAAGAATAAGTAGACCTTGGCACAAAGGCAGGGGTCAAAATAAATACTTACAGCAGACTTAAATTCATTAGCCCCATTCTAAGAGAAAGTCTGAAGACTACTACTAATTAAGAGAAGAGCAAACCTTTGCATAATCAATGGTTGCCTTGAATGTGATTGTGCTTTTAGGCCTAATATCTGGTTTTCACTTGACTTATTAAATTATTTTATCAATAATGTTCTTCATCGTTACTTAACTTCCTACCATGGATTCTATATTTTAAAATATGTAATTCCAATAAGCACATTTTAATGAAATAGCAACCAATTTCTCCAATCTTATCAAAGGATCAGCATGAAATAATAATAATAATATTAAGCTAAAAAATATGTTAGTGATATTTGTCATTAATTAATACATAATTCATGATGGTTTTCTTAAAAAATATTTTTATGTATAACTTTCATTATTCCTTTCCAGAAACTCATGTTTCCCCAGGTTTGAAATTATCAAAATGGTGGGTTTTATTTTAATGAATAAATTCTGGTTTCAAGAAATTATGTTTATTTTTACACTGGATTATTTTACCTAAGCTAATAAGAAAATAAAGCTTCATCATTTGGCACTAATGTGGTTTGGAATATAGTGTAAAGCTTGAAAAAGAGAACTAACCCATAAGCCCTTAATAAAATTTTGTTATGCTAAAGTATAGAAGGCAGAGATAAAAGCTTTTGTAAAACATGAGTGCATTTCACTATCCATGTACTGAAATTGTCCTGTATTTTGGTTATTTCCTTACTACAGCATCTGTGACTATTTTTATCATTAGCTGTACCAACTTATACCCAGTTTCCATCTTCACACTGGAATATTATAAAGTTACTGCACTGGAAATTATCTCCTAAACTTTACAATGAAAGTTAATCCAAGGAATTAGTTATAAGAGCATTGTTTCTAATAGGTTAAAATTCTTATAGGTTAAAATTCAAAATTCAAAATATTTGAGGTAATAACAGTTAGGAACTAGGACAACATCCAAAATGGTATTTTCATGTAAAATCCAATACAAATCCTGATTAAAACCTAACCAAGCAAAACACTGCAGATTACCTGGATTCCAATTAAATGTGACAAACGAATATTTGACAGGTTTCAATTCCAATTCTATTTATGTCAGAATGATCCATTAATATTGAAGATGAAACTACCAGAATTCAAGCAATACAACTACACTTTATGACTAGATAATAGTCTGAAAATGAACACAAATGGAACTCTTAAATGTCAACTGCTACATTTGGATCACGCAAAGTGAATCACATCTCCTCTGTCATTACCTATAGATCAGGGCTAACATGAATCACACTGAGCAGATGACAAGTGGTTATATAAACTCCAAATTTCAAGTGTCAGTCACATAAAATCAGGAAAAATCAGTTACATGATTATGTTCCTTGGCTGTTGACAAGACTGAAAACATAAATAATAACTAAAAGTCTTTGAGAAATGCTTCTCAGTCAACTTGCTAGCCTCTTAACAAGCTCATCTTTTAAGTTTTCCAAGATATGTATGCTTCCTAAAAAGTAACCACTGTCTATTTGTCATATATAATATGTTTATTATTCATTATTTCTTTCTTATTTTAATGGCACTGAATTCCTTAAACTCAGAAAAGAGAGACTGACATTAAAATATGATTATAAAGCCAATGATAGTTGCCATTCCCAAAATAAAGACTTAATTATACTGTATGCTGTTTACAGTGAGAAAGTACTTTTAAAAATACATATAAAATTGTACGATATCATAAAAAGGTAATACGGAGATAGTAAAGCCCTTAAAGTAAGTGAATCCTGCCTTCCTAGTGTGTGTGTGTGTGTGTGTGTGTGTGTGTGTGTATAAAACATTTTGTGGCAGTTTTACTTTAATTTTTACTTTTCTACAAAGATTTTGAACATATTTGCCTTAAATATACATTCATCAGCATTGAGTTCATATATATCAAAATTGTATTTTAAATTGCATTTTAAAAAATCTAAAAAGAAAAAAGGTGAATTCTTAAAAACCACATCAAACTCCCATCCACATAAGCACATACCACCATACACACAGATAAGCATGCCTTTATAGCCATAAGGCAAAATGCCATTTAATATCTGGATAATTAATCAAGAAGGATTTCAGTCAGCAGACCCTGATATCATTATCTACTTAGCCAGATAACAATGTGGAAAAATAACTATTTTACATGATTTGCTTTAACAATAATTTGATTTGGAGTTATGTATAATACATTACTCTCTAATGCTAGATTTTAATACTCATATGTAAGCTTCCAGAAAAAAAGACTTTTTCCCAAAGTAATAGGTTCTATTTACATATTGTCACTCAAGAAACTGGTATATAACAAAAAGTTAAAATTTCTTGTTTCACTTGGGGGATGGAATGGTGAAAGACATAAATTAACTTCAAGGTTTCACTAGAGATAAAAATGTGTGTGATTCCTCTTCCTCTCTCTGCATATAACCAAATTTCTTCTTACATATGAAATAATAAAGTTAGCAAGAACTTTACCACTCCATTATTTGACATAAACCTATTCTTCAGGCATTTACTTACAACCTTTGGGAACAGAAACAAATGTGAAAAGTGTCATAAGCACTACTTGCAATCTAACACTGTAACTTAAAGGAAAGTGTACACAGGCCAACTGTGGTAATTATGAGAACCATCTCACAATAGAATAAGAATATAGGGTGCTATAATCTTCCTTCCTCCCTTTCCCTTGCAAAAAAAAAAAAGAAAGAGAGAGAGAGAAAAAAAAAAACAACCTTATAAGTAAATGAGAGGGGAGTTCTAGTAGCATTTACAGTGTATTTTGGAGAATAATATGATACTGTTCACCTCCTTTGACTCCATTCTGTTATCGCTTGAAAAGGAGAGGTTTGAAAATGCTTTTCTAATACCTCGGAGAAGACAGAACATAGCTGGGTATGTTTATTGTCATTTCCTTTTACCAAGACTGGACAGTTACAATTGAAGAAATAGTTGCATGACAAAAATGAAGAGAAAAAAACAGTGACACAAGACCTTTCTCAGTGGCTATAGTTTAGGTATTATACTAGTTTAGTTTTTCCCATATCAGGTACTACTCTGATTTATTTGTGAAGGCGTTTATTTGTGACAGGCTGGTTTAAAATGATGGAGCAAGTTCAGTGAATTTAATCTGGAGAATTATGTTCCTTTATTTGGCATTTCTATACTTTAGCAAATATTGATTATTTCAGAGGAAACAGGTGTGGTGTCAGCTATTCTGTGTTGGTTTTAGACTGACCTTCCAGAGCCTACTTTTTGCGGCTCGCTAGGTGACTGTGTGTGCGGGTGCTGTGTTTGCCCCTACCATTTTCCATATGCTCTGCCTCACCAACACTGCCATCCGGCGTGGTCCGCTCATAGTTGTCCTCTGGGAGTGGAAGGGCGCCCAGTCTCGGCCCCGAGGAGCTCTTACTGCTTGGGGTTTCTGACTCCTCCAGCCCGCTGTCATAGCAACTCTGCAGGGACCCCTGATGTGGGTCCTGAGGCTGACTCACAACAGAAAACGTCACTCTACGAAACGGCTGCAAGAGAAGAGATTCTGAATGTCACTAAGGTAGAAGACGGTAAATGATCTTAGCTTAAAAACACATCAATTGCGTGCATTAAGGTCTTCGGACAACTAATTCAATACAGAATAGTTAATATGACATGTGGAAATGTATTCGCTTAATTCTGTTTTCTGAGGCAATACATAGAGCTTAGATTTCATTATGGAAAAGCTGAATATTCCTTTCTGTAACAGAGATAAGAAAACAGCAATGGTACTGAAACACACATTGAAACTTGCTATGGTACTTCCACACAGTCACCACTTTTCTATTCCGAAGTATCACTTCAGATATATTTTTCACCATCAGACTCATAAAAACAAGGGTCACTGATTTTGGAAAGCAATAAATATAGAACTAATCCATCATAAGAAGGCCATTTTTAAATACTTTGTCCTTACAGAAGATGGTTTAAAATCAAATGTTCTGGGAGTTGACTTCAACTATTAAAGGTACAGCTGATAAATAAGAATTCAGATGAAATGCTAACAGATTGGGATACATTTCTTACTTCATTCATATTAAAAATATTACCTATTGACCCTAAAAGTGTAAGGGTAGTATTGAAATAAGAGACAAGAGTTTCATTAACCAGGGAATTGAAAATAAACTAAAAAAGTTCAATTCTATGTGTTTTTACTACAACTAATTCACAATTTGCTCAAAAAAGTAACATCATATACATCTTTAAGTAGTATTTAAAGTACTGTAAATGTTACCCATTCGACATCACAATATAATATGTTACTAATGTTGGCTGAATAGAATACTTACTATACATGGAATTTAAAGGTTATTGTAACTACATAATAAAACAAACATTTTAGGCTCATTAAGAGAACAAATTAATGCCATATATTGTCAGGGATATATGTACACATAATATTTTGGGGTAGAACCAATATAAAAGGTTCTATAATATCTCTTTCATATTATTCTTGGCAACATTGTATTCATTAACATCTTATATGACTTGAAAGTGGCATAAATGTACAGATTTTTGAACCTGTAACTCAGATTTTTTTTCTAATATAAAGATAAAACTAATATTGCCAGAATAGTGAGAAAGGTAAATAACCTTTTCTGTACTTTTACATTTGCATACTAATGGTACAAATCACCCATCACAACTAGAACCAGTAGACTTTTTAAAACGTTAAGTCTAATCTACATACCATAGGCTATTAATGGGAAAGCTAAGAACTGTGACATTTCCCCCAAAATTTATAAATTGGTCTTACTAGAGACAAACACATGCTTCTGCAAAACTTCCCTTTATTTTGTCTCAGATAGAAGACTGGCCAGGAATATTGTCATATTGTTCATATTTCTAACCAAGTACCTCTCCTTCAATGTACTTATTAGAGTGTATAGTCTTTATAAAATCTACTTTTCCATTTAATTCAAAATCAAACTTTAAGAAATTCTGAATTCTGTTGGAAATATTTAAAGGATGTTCTCTTCTTTATAATGTTTCCCTGAATTGGGACTGCAGTATTTTAAAATAATTACAAAATATTACTAGGATAAACATCACACACACCATGGGCCAAAATTTACTAGCAACAAAGTCTCTAAAACCATTTCCCTTTTTTCACTATTAATTCTTACATTGCTTTAGAGTAGTATAATTGTGATATTTTACCTTATTTCTTAATAAATATGAAATCAATTTGTATTTAGCATGCTTTATCTTATGTGTGCATATTTTTATTTCTTTTTTTCCCATTTATCACTCCCAGTTGACTGCAAACCCTCTGTGAATTATGTTCAGTATCACCTCAGAAATGGAATCAATGACAGTCCCCTAAAACCACATTGCTTTGCACATAGAAGCCACTTAGCAAATAATATTGAACAATAAAATTTTAATGACAATGCTGAATTTAGAAAATAATGCTATGTGTCATGAAAACATATTATCACCTCAAGACATAGCAATGGATTAAGAAAATCACGTTAAAAAGAAAAGAGGGTCAAAGGCTTTTTAATTCTATTTTAATGATTCTCAAATCTTTTTGAATCAGTCCACTAATGCAAGGAGAAAGTTCAAAATGAATACAGAAGTAGGTAAATTATGCTAATAGACTGATAAAGAGAAATAAGAAATTATGAGGGAAAACATTTCATTATGATATAAAAAAGAAAGTGATGTTTGAATGAAGGTGTTAATCTCATAATCTGTGCTTAAATGCTGGTTCTACTAAAAGTAATACTAAAATATCACAGACAGGAGATAGGCTATGTTTACAAGAAAAAGTCAAAAAACTTTTTTCTATCATGCATTATATAATAACTGCTATGAATCTGTGCATTTTACTTTCTAGATTCTGTACCCTATTTTAATTGTGAATATTTTAATCCCCATGAATTACTGTAGGTTACATATTAAGTTTAATGAGAGAATGAAAATGCTGAAATTTTAAAATACTAAGATCAATATATACACTAGAAAATGCTCAGATCCATTAATACTTCCTTTTTGCATAAAAAGCTTTTTCATTTAAAATCATATCTAAATGAATGGAAAAATGACATAATAAAATCTGAAATAAAAAATATTACCCAATGGATCATAAAATGCCCTATCATTTTTATCTGCATTTAAAAAAATTCCAATAGAATTCTACATACAATATAAATACTACATTACTATCTCTCAAATTTTACTTTGATAATTTTGAATAAATAAAAATCTGTGGCAAACTGTTTGTTGGTAATGTGAACCAAATTAGTACAGAATTCTGAATTCTGAAAAAGAACCCATTAATGCAAGAACTAAGTTTTAATTTTAGTAATAAATCAGACATGTATTACAGATTTAGATAACAAAGTAGACAGATAGGTAGACAGTTAGGGAGACAGACAAGTATTTACACACCACCCTTCACCATGGGTTGGGTCTATTGAGAAGATAGGCTTTATGGCAGAAGTTATGACACAGAATATATAATATTTACATACCAGAGATATATTGAATAAACCAGAAATGCAAGCATTGTGTTAACTGTGACAGAGAGAATGAATTTGGTAATGACTAATACTCTGAAGTAGAGTGGCTTAAGTGGTGACTCCTAAATTTAGATGTGTCTTAGAAACATCCAGAATACTTGCGAGAAAATACAGTGCCAATATCTGGCTTCAACTTAAACCCAATGAATCAACATTCAGGGTGGAGCTGGGTATCAGTAATTTCTAATATTTCTCAGGGTGATGAGAGGCACAGAGAGGAAGGTGAAATCCTACAATTAAATATTTGGTCAGAAAGTCAAACTGCTTCAGGAAGCCAGATGGTCCTTTAAGTGTTCATAGAATTTCCCTGGAAAGTCACAGAAGCATGGTTCCATCTTGAGACACAGAAGTATGGTATGAAGATATCTAGTGACCTGAGGTGTTTGAGCTTTTGACTTTTCTGTCTAGGGTGACAAATGACATGTCTTGCAAAGTCAAACTCATTTTCTATGCAAACAGGAAAAAGCAGAAGGGCTTGAAGAAGCATGTCAGTTTCCCAGCTTTTTGAAACAATGAAGATTTGCTTGAAAACTAAGTAAGTAATGCAAGAAAGAAGTCTCCAAGAGACTTCCCTGGCAGACCAGGGGTTAAGACTTTGCCTTCCAACTCAGGGGCTGTGGGTTTGATCCCTGGTCAGGGTGCTAAGATCCCACATGCCTCATGGCCAAAAAAAACAGAACATAAAACAAAAGCACATGTACACCCATGGCGGATTCAAGTCAATGTATGGCAAAACCAATACAATGTTGTAAAGTAAAATAAATAAATTAATTACTTTTAAAAAAAGTATTGCTAAAATACACACACAAAAAAGCAAAAAGCAATATTGTAACAAATTCAATAAAGACTTTAAAAATGGTCCACATTGAAAAAAAAAAATCTTAAAAGATGAAGTCTCCAAAAAAGTTTTTCCAAAAATTTTGAGTGGTATATGTGTGAGAATTATAAACAAGAGGGGGTGGAAATCAAAGATTTTTATTAGGCAAATAAATGACCTAATTAAAGGGGTGAGATTAAAGACATGGTCTGACCATTCCCTACAAAAGAGTAGGAGGAAGTTGAAGGCAGAGGATTATGCTAAAAAAGAGAGGGGATTTTCTTTTTGTCTTGGTTATGGTTTCTTTTGCTGTGCGAAAGCTTTTAAGTTTAATTAGGTCCCTCTGTGGTGACCTAATTGGAAAGGAGGTCCAAAATAGAGGGGGTATATGTATATGGAAAGCTGATTCACTTTGATGTACTGCAGAAACTAACAAAACATTGTAAAGCAACTATACTCCAATAAAAATTTTTAAAAAGAATGAAAAAAAGAATAGGGAAACAGCAATAAGAATGCTCAGCAAGGCCATTACAGAGCAAACCTGTGTGGCTGACTGGGTCCAGTCATTATACCTACATTTGTTATGTCCCATTGTATCTCAGGGTTTCAAGGATGTTCCAACAATAATTCTATAGATTTAAGAAACTCAAAATCTCATAGGTATATAAAAACAATCAAAAATATAACATGATTAAGTTTCCAACAACGTAAAGGCACCGCTCCTCAAAATTCCATGAAACTTGCTTACGAATTCAGGCAGGCATTGCAAAGAAGGGGTTTCTGGGTTGAGATCTCTGAAATAATTTTGATAGATAATATATATTTGAGGGGTGATTATAGACTTCAAATTTGAAAACAAGGGCAAAGAATAAAATATAGGACTAATAAGAAAGCCAAATCATTTTTGAGACTCAGAAACCAAGGAAGCTGGTAATTTCTGGAAAGCAAATAAAACCTTATGTGATCAAAGGCATCGGAGATGGTGAGAAGAATATTGATTACTATAAGTCCACTGGATTCATCCATTAAGAGGTAATTATTGTTATAAAATCTCTAAACCCTGCGGAACAATTCTAGGAGATTAAGCCAGAGGAAGTAAAAGACCCACTTGTAAACATAAGGACACATGGAGAAAGAGGGTGTA